TGGGCATGTGTTGTGTGTTTGTATGTGTGCAAGTGGTGCCTTGTCCTCTGTTAGAAAATATGGTCTGGGGGGCTTAAACAGGGGTTAGAAAGTATAGTCTAAAGGGCCTAAATAGGGGGTAGATTCAAGGCGGTGCTCTGTAGTTTGAAAAAAGTATATTGGGTTTGAATGGAGAGAACAAAGAAGAAGAAGAATACAGTGTCCGGTCACATGTGGAAGTGTACGGCCGGAGGGGCTTAGATGGTGGGTTTCCGATTCTCTGTAATTCCGAAAAGTATAGATTTATTAGGTTTGAAAATGGAGTGTCCAGTCCGATGTAGAAGTATATGGTCTGAAGGGCTTAATTTTGGCTTGAGTAGGGGATGTCCGATCCTCTGAAGAAGTGTCTGGTCTGGGGGGGGGGGGGTTATACAGTGGGTGTCTGATTCTCTGTAGGTCTAGATTAGTTGAAAAGTACTGAGTGTTTAGGGCATAAGTAGTGGGTGTCCTGTCCCCTGTAGACGTGTTCGGGTCCGTGAGAATCTGGGAAAAGTGTCCGGTTGAGTGAGAAAAGTGAAACACTTTAGGAGAGGGAAGATTGTCATGTGACTTTTTTGTAAAGAACACCATTTGTAGTGTGACCTCGCCCATGTAGACCGATCATTGAGCTTCACTGCCGTATTCGTCGACCTGCCCTAAAAAAATGCAGCTCCCTCTAGTGAGCTTCTGACCGAGCCCTCCTCCCTAGAGTGGATTTGATCAAGAGTGTACGGACAAGGTAAACCAAACCCTCCACCCTCAGAGTGGATTTGATCAAGAGTGTACGGACAAGGTAAACCGAGCCCTCCACCCACAGAGTGGATTTGATCAAGAGTGTACGGACAAGGTAAACCGAGCCCTCCACCCACAGAGTGGATTTGATCAAGAGTGTACGGACAAGGTAAATCCCTCTAGCATAGCATAGAGTCACTGAGGCAGAAATGAATAATTTTCTGATGTTTTTTTGATGTGATGTGATGTGAACGGATTTGACCATTAGAATCACAACAAATCAACGTAAATGTGAGAAAATTGAGGGGTGTTCGCAACTGCATAAGGTCAAATCAAAGCCTTGGGACATTTTATTCAGATTTGGGTACGGCTAAGGCCAGGGTGTTTAGTTAATCCTAACCCTCCGCACAGGCAGTGCGATTGACTCATTGCAACTGAGGCTAACCACGAGAGCATGCTAATTTACAGCAGTTGTTTGTGTCACCCCCACGTATCGCACATTGGTTACAGATGAGAAAAATTGGGTCATTCACCGAAGACAAAAGTTTTTTCGGCATCTTCCATTACAGTCAATTTTCTTTCCGAAAAAAAGAAGATTGATGGGTAGCAGGTTTGGAATGTGCTGGTCAGCACTGTCATTTTCTGACTCTCCTTATTTGGAGTTATGAAACCATATATAAATATCACCCAAATGCCCAGATTTGACAGCCAGTGAGAAGAGAGATTGCTCTTCATATTGCAGGGTTCCGTTAATGAATAGAGGACAAAAAAAATGTGGAGGGTGGAGGGTTACAGTTTTCCTCATTTTTTGTTTTGCAATTAGAAGGTAATTTTGCGTTTTCTCGAAAATAATTGATTTGCGACAGTTTTAGTGGCCATATGATATACAGTAAAAAAAAAGTACTGAATTTTGACCCCCTAAAGCAGTGCATCTGTGTGCGGGAGTGAAATAAAAATGTACAGATTAAGATATGGGATGCTCATTGGCTTGGTGGGATAGGGTTGAATTGGGTTGGGTCAAATAACTTACTAAATATAGAGATAAAGGAAGTGGTACTTTCAGTGCATCCTACTTATTGACATTGACCCCTGCCCTGTGGCATCGATTTTGTTCCAGATAAATAACTTTGACCTCTGGTGACAGAGAAACTGGGTGAACAGGTCGGCAATCTTCTAGATTGAAACAGGTTGTTTTTTTCGTAAGTGTTTTACGGTGCTCGCAACTGCATAAGGTCAAATGAGCGCCTTGGAACATTTTATTCCTATTTGCCAGATTTGGGTAAGGCTACGGTCAGGGTGTTTAGTCAACCCTAACCCTCCACACAGGCAGTGCCATGGACTCATTGAGCATGGTCATTTAAAGCAGTTGTTTGTCTCAGCCCCATGTATGGCACATTATTACTTGCTGGAGAAATTGAGTCATTCACTGAAGAAACATTTTTTTTGCAGTATCTTCCAAGACATTCATTTTTTTTCCAGAAAAAAGAAGATTGGTGGGTGGCAGGTCTGGAAACATTGCCGGTCGGCACAGTAATTTTCTGACTTTCCCTATTTGGATATTTTCAAAACGATGTAAACATTACCCGAACGTCCCCAAATTTGGCAGCCAGTGAGAAGAGAGATTGTCCTTAATTTTGCAGTATTCTGTTAGTGAATTGAGCGAAAAAAGAAGTTATGAGGTGATTTCTTTGTGGATGTTGTTTTTGAAAAGTAGTGTGTATTCTGTCTGCATGCTGAATATGTCTCTACAGAATTGCAGAATTTTAAACATTAATAATATTAGGAGCTATTTTGTGAACTTCCTCATGATTTTGTGGGTGGATGGCGGGTGCCCTGGTGTGGTTTGCTTCTTCTTTCCTATCAAACATCTATCGTCCTTATCTTCACTTCTTCTTTTTTATGTTTTGTTACTCTCTTGTAACACCTCTAATCTTCTGGCGCTCATATGACCTTATGCAGTTGCGAGTGCCGTAAAACCTCTACTAAAACTACACCTCATGATTTAATGATCCCATTAAAAAAGGATAATGTCGCCATAAATGCAGTATTGTATTTTAACTCTTTGTCTCCGAACCACTGTGCTGGTGTGCCTCTGGCAGCATCTCGAGCGCACTCCTTTATGAATACTTCAACATCAAATTACGTTTCATTGCAGAAAAAAAGGTCTTTTTGACCGGGAGATCATTCATTAGATGAAGAGCTATGGAAATGGGTTCACTAGCTTTGATTGGACCAGTTTTGTGACTTATAGTATGTCAGTTTTAGATTTCGTACCCCCCTCGCAGATAAAGAGTTAGAGCTGAATTGTTATCATGGAAAATCAGATAAGGAATCTTCCCCCAAATTACCAGATGTAACCACTTCTCTGATGTAACTGAAGCATTTTAAAGTGGAAAATGGCCACAAAATCATTAGTGTAGTTTCGGCCATTAATTAATAATAGTATGTTACAGTGCCTGTAAGAGTGATCCCCATCTATTACAAGATTTGGCTATAATGGGGGTATATCGCATAGATACTGGCAGTCCTCTTTAAGCTGGAACTCTCTGTCTTGGTTTGTTTCGTCAAAATAGGGCGCTGCACAGTGGCGACCGGCATTGTACTATTGTGTATTTATGTATGTAGGTATCTATGTATATATGGTTTTCTAATTATGCATGTATGTATGTTCTGCCAAATATTGTAACCCAAATTTCCCCTCGGGGATCAATAAAAGGTAATTTTTCTATTTATCTTTATGATTTATGATTTATTATTATTATTAAATGTATGTGTAGTGGGTTTAAGCTTTTCCTTCTTGACTCGGAGCCTTTACTTTTCACGGAGACTTTCACTTTTTTCAATTCAAAACGGCCCCCTTCTTTATTTTTAATTTTTATAATGAAATAAAATAATCTCAAACTGATGGCACTAAAATCTGTCTCTGAAGTCCGCACAGTCGCCGTTCTTAGTCAATCTCACAGCAGATGCGCCCCCTGGATGGTTGATGAGTGCCTGGTGTGGTCTGCTCCTTCTTTCCTGTCGAACATCTATCATCCATATCTCTCCACTCCTCCTTTTTAGTGTACATTACTCTCTTGTAACACCTCTAGTGCGGCTCTAGTCTTCCGGCACTTGTTGTTTGACCTAATGGTGTTGCAAGTGGGTACACAACAACTCTTATTAAAACTAAACTAAAACAAGTATGACCCACCCCTGCCTGGAGTCTGTGTGTAAACTCTGGTCCGGCATAAAGAAATATTGGGCCCTAAAGGAATGGGGTAGGAGAGAGAATTTGTAATGTGGGTGGTTGGCGGGTGCTCTGGTCTGGTTAACTTCTTCTTTCCTATCAAACATCTATCGTCCTTATCTCTGCTCCTTCTTTTTTTGTGTTTGTTACTCTCTTGTAACACCTCTAATATTCTGCACTTATATGACCTTATTGTGCTGCAAGTGCCGTAAAACACTTACTAAAACAAGAATTTGTGATAGTGCCCTAGTTTTGTAAGAGGCAACAGGTGAATGGATGTGATTTGAGAAGACAAAGGCCGGAGACATAGAGAGGCTCTTCCTTTGATTATCTTCTCCTTTGTTGTTTCTCTCTCAGCATTGTGATAACTACATGTACTGTTTCTTGAGCTCATAAACTCATGTTTCTTTTTTCAGCATCACTATGACTCTGCAATATTCTGGGCTGATAAACTGGTATCATTGTCGGATGGTGAGTGTTTCAAAAGCTAACAAGGACACTTGCCCCACTTCACTTGCGCAGATTTACGGGATCTGGGGAAAAGTTATCGTGCACGATAGATAGTGATGCACAACTGTGGCACTCGCTGGAAAGTGAGAACACTAGGACAATTTGTCGGGGGGGGGGGGGGGGGGGCACCATGTGACCAACGGCGTGACCAGCTAGATAGGGGTTATTCTATTCTTACAACTTGTTTTTTAGGGAAGCATACAACATTTTTAATATCGCTGTCAAAAAACATCAGCAAAGTTTGCTTGTTTTCTTGTTTTTTTATTTTCCATAAATTGCTGGATCATTGTGAATTGAAACATTTTTTGTTGACACTCACAGAATCAACAATGTTATTCAATGTGGAATCAGCAGTGTTTAGGTGATATTTTTTGTAT